AAGCCTTTAACCTTAGGGGAAAAAAGTAAAAATTCGCAAAACCTGAGTAATTATTTTACAAGATTCGATACAAATTTATAAACTTTTTCTATATTTTTACTATTTTTTACTCAATTTCACTTACTTTTTTAAAAATTGTGTACAAAATATTACCACTATTTCAACAAGTAATGAAAATGGAGAGTATAAAATGTAGCAACACTACTTCATCTCCATTACATTAGAAACCTCAAGAAAACCCCAACCAAGTTATACAACATTGAATTTGAGACTGTTGAGTTTTGCAAAGTGTTTCAGGAATGGACCAAATATATCTAACTTCATCATCACATTCCCACTAGTAATCACTGGAATCCACCTGCTTCGTATCATACTTTTCCTAAACCCAAAGTGGAATCTCCTCATTGAGGATACAGAACTTGTACAACCGCCATAGCCAACGAACCAATGATCATACCCATTTCAATCATATGCCTCAGATGAGCCATCATTTGGTGAAGATAATCCGGTTAATGACATCAACAGGCAAGGCGTAGGCAGGATCAATTGCTTTCACTCCATGATACTCAAGGAGGGAAAGCCCTGCACCAATTTTTGATGAAATGAGACCACTTTGGATTCACATCAACAACATGAGCTTAAAGAGAGACAAATCCAAGTTACCCGCAACTCCAAAGTAGGTGTGGAAGATATCAACAGCATCATCGGGTCTGTCTGAGATGCCTCCGTTATCCAAATCCTAATCAAATTAGGAAAGATGAGAGCTTATATGCAATTACCAACGGTGATGACTTTTCTCAGTGTGATAAAGACAAACCTGACAATCTAAGATGAACTTGACAAGCTTTGCTTTGTCGATCCAGTGAACTCTATCTATCATGATTAGGCTCGATAGGACCCACCAAGAATAGCAAACCTGGTTATAAGAACAATCAAAAGTGTGTAAGAACAAGGGAAAGTATACAAAGGTCTCTCATCGGATAACAATAACGCCTACATCAGGGAGTTTCTCGGGTCGTCCATTTAAACCCCCAGTCTTGCCTTGTCTTTCACATAACCACCAGCCAAGTAAGTCCTTATCAACATGATGGAGATTCCCTGTGATAGCAAGAGCACCCACGCAACAGAAAACTGAAACAAAAAAAAAGAATAACCGTCTTTTACCATATGACGTTACCATGAAACTGTCCAATCCTATCTATCTACACAAGGCTTTAGCAATAGCACCACAACTACAGAAACAAAAAAAAATCTGAGTTATCGCAGTCCTTAGAATGGTTTAATGTCATTGGTGGGATCGGCCTTGTTAACTCCGAAAAGTCATCTTTAACAGTAATTGAAAGTAAAAATTGGGTAGATGACACATAATAATACTCAAACAGCATAGCATACTCTGTCCTGCATGAGACTCTGCTCCAGGAGTGCACCCAAAACCACCATCCAAGTTTTTGCAGCTCACAATGTAATCAACGGCCTTCTTCACATTAATTTTGTCAAGACATTTTAATATTGAGAGACAGCATATAGCTATGTACGAAAACCTATATCATAAACAACTAGCAGTTAAGATTCAACATAGTAAAATAACCAACAGGAAAGCATAAATGTCTCAGTAATACATGGCCAAGAAGAATACCTCGTATCTATTTCTCCCCATATATCTCCTGAGAAGGATCCATCTTCATTCTGCAATCCAGCAACATCTAATTTTGTATATAGGAAACCATTACAATATCTACCATAAGCATTTTGCATAGGTTTTTTTCCTTTGCATTTTACCTCATCGATTAATTAACAATATGAAAGTTCCCCCATTACCATTGGTGAAAAAGAAAGAGTTAATGATATCAACAAATAAGCAAAGTGCCAAAGGATACAGCTTGATACTTTTCCAACGTCAAGAATGTCTAGTTTGTCAAAGAGGGCCAATATTTGTACAGCACTGAGTGTATATAAAATATGTGGATCATGTCCTGTATTTCCGGCAAAGCCACCTGCTCAGAAAAGCACCACTTGTTTTCAACATTTTCCGCAGCGATATCTCATGATTAACGATGAAAATGTGAAACCCTATAGCAAGTTCAATGGTCTCCATAAATATTTTTGCTAGCTTATTTAGCAATGACAGCCAATTATTGTCCAAGACACATGCTTTCAATGCCTAACCCTTGTATCCTTTCTTTTTGTTATTCTATTGGTAAGTAGAAATATCGGATCTGCAATCTATATGGTAGAGAAATATAACTAATTCTCTAGTACACACCAGATTCATGGTAGCATGTCATGACCCATGAAACCACTTCATCTTTGGAAACAGAACCCAGCTTCTCGAGTAAATCCAGAGCGGTCAGTCCCCAGTATGCACCATTCATTCTTAGATGATCCATCACCACAGACTCAAAACTCTCTTTCTTCTAGTGACATAAACAGCGAGAATAAGTTAACAATCATAGTGACATAAACAGCAGAGAGTCAGGAAAGGGGTGATATAGTTTCCAGCACCTTTTCTGCCATCAGAATGTAACGTACATGCTTGTCAGCTACAAGCTGAACCATCTGCCATAAATGATTCACAGCAAGTTCAGTAACTTTGCACAAACTTGGGAATCACCATCAAAAACTTAAGCTGGCTCGATGCAAGCGTAGTTTACTATAATGGATTAAAATCCCCAGGCGTATCATTAACACTTGTTAGACAGACCCACCTATAATTGTGAAGCTAAAGAGCTTTAAGCTAGATGATCAGTTACTAAGAGGGCAAAAGTTTTAAAACATAAAGTTGCAATTTTTTTTCACTGCAGGGCTATGATATGGAGTTGTAATTTGCATTTTTCTTACAAATGTAAAAGCAAAGCTACTTCACACCACAATCAAAAACAAAAAGTATGTATAACATGGTGTATTGAAATAAGCTTATTAACTTTACAAATCAGACGACACCAGATGAATGATGTACGGAAACAAACGACGAGCAACCATCACCAAACGAAAAAACTAACAAGCTCCAGCCCTTAGACAATAAGCCAAATATGAGCAGTAATTATCAATTTAATCTCAATATCCAAAGATGAAGGAAGAGTTCAAGTGAAACTACAAAAGACGACCAAGTGCTCAACAAGAATTCAAAGCATAGTTTTTGAACTGAAATCAAAGAATATTCAGATGCATTATCCATCAATGATGAGGAGAATGAAAACTGAAAAGTCATATGATCAAACCCATATGAGATTGATCCAAGAAGCACATTTTTAAAAAACCTCCATAGC